TAGCTTGGAGAGTACAACCATCACATGCTAGGGTGTTGCCTTGTTCTTGAAGCAAGTATGGTGGTTAGCAGCTTTAGCAGCGTCTAAGCTGGAATTGTAAGCAGGATTTAAGGAAAGGTAACCTCAAAAGCCAAATCAACGCATGGGCCCAGCACACTCTTGTACAAGAGTTTTCTTTTCCAAGACAGTAATGGTACTTCTATGCCACATGTGGGGAAATCCTTTGAATAAAGACCCAAAAGTGGTTGTGAGCCTTAAATGATGATGAGATTGATCAAACCAGAAATCCTGCAATGTGAGATTTTGCATCATTGCTTAATTCTGGGTCAGAGGTTCGGCTTCAGCATAATTTAGAATAAACATCCAACTTCTGATCTTTGTATCTCCTTGCTCCGGCGTGTTCTGAAGGAGCTCTCAGACTTTCCAGGAAGCTTGCAACACGCTTTATAAACCTTTTTTGAACTACCCTTGCAAACTCTGACTGAATCTTTGTGAAAACTGGACCAGATATTCTGACCAAACTCTGTCTTGAAAGTGTCCAGAATTTGCTGAGTGCTTTAGTTTCATGGACGTGTCTTTGAACATTTATAACTTGAAATCCCAACATTTCTAGGAGAAGTTTTATTCTGTAATATTTCAGATCTTGCTTGAGTCCATAACTCTTGTGTTAGAAGTTAATCCAGAATCAACTTGCATCATGGTGATAATCTGATCAGAAGTTCTGAGCTTGTCGTATTTCTTAAACACTTAGAAAAATTCTAAGTATTTAGAAATTTGACTTTTCCAAAGTAACTTTTGACTTTTGAATTTCTAGATGAAACAAACTTTATATCTCAACATGTCTTGATGAAATATGACTCTTGAAACTTGATTTTGATCCAAAAGTCAAAGTTTGACTCTTCAGTGTACAAATGACCATTTTGCCCTTGTGAATGACTTTCTTGAAAAATTTGTAATTCAAAGCTTGGAATTGGATGGAAGCAAACCTGAGGGTCCAGGGTGATCCTTTGAGAAATGAGAGGGAAAATTTTGGGGTACAACAGATAGATAATTGTAGGTTTGTGTGGGATTTTGGTTGATGATGTCAATATGATGATTTGATGATAAATGATGAGATTGTGGTATTATTTTGCAATAAATAGATGCATATTATGTATAAACAAATGAGTTGTTAATATATGATGAAAACATGAGTATTTGTGATGATATGGAATCTGTTATGTGTTAGAATCGCAAGAAATTTGGACTGGTGTAGTGCAGAAAACACATCAGAGAGTTCTTGTTCGCGTTGCATCGCCAGGCGAGCATATTGCTTCACCAGAAGAAGGAACTTCTCCCTGAAGCGCTGCGCATGAAGGACACGAAGGTCCTGGGGGGAAACAAAGCCTATGGAATTTGTATGGAGGTGGGTGACTCTCCCAAGCTTCATCGGGCGAACGGGGGGAGGGAAGGGATGTCGTCGAGTGGGTGAATAGCTTTGTTAGGCGAAGGAAGCGAAAGAAAAACAAGTACCTAAAATTTTGTATGGGGGAAGGCTTTTCTCCACGTCCTCCCTGGGCGAGCCTAAGGCGAGCAACCTGCTTTGCCGGACGAGCCTCGGGTGAGGGACAACATACATAATTTTGAAAGTATCGTAAATTGAGTTTCAGGACTCTGTTTGACATACCGTTCAAAGTGCTAGGAAGCCAAAGTGATGGACTACAAGTTTGTAAGATGAAAATAATTATATGATGTATTTTCTAGTGCCTATGTCTTAATTCATAGGATGATTTTGTAATTGACTTATTATGATGTATGACTATATGATGAATTGTTGTTGCGATGATGATGCCATGCTGTGTTATGAAGTTAATGTTGTTGTTGTGATAAAGGAAGTGATGATTTCATGTTTGATATGCATATATGCCATGTGAATATAATTATACGATGATTATAAGAATGATGATGCGTTTTGACTAACAGTGGTTGTGTTTTATTATGTTGTTGCGCATCGTTCATTCATTGCATATGCTAGGACCTCGATCCAGTGATGTTGTTAGGACGATTGGTCTAGTGATGATGATAAGGAGATTGTCCAGTGATGACCTCAATCCCATAGTGTGGATTGAGTGCGATATTATGGCGTGCTCTGGTTCCAAGCGGGAATCAATCCTATTAGTGGGAATCTTTAGAGAAACGATGACTGAGTCATCAGTGAAGTTTTGGTACCACATGCATGAGTCTAATGAAGTTGCATTGTATTCTTTGTGGTATTTTCATAATGATTGATTTAGTGATACTTTCTGAATATGTGAATTGATGATGTTGATGATCGTTGACTAATGATATGATGAAGTTATAAGTGAATAATGAAGTGAAGGAGTGAGTATAACATTTAGTTTTGATGATGTGTGGATTCTTGCTAATGTGTTATGACTACTATATTTATTCCTTATGTCTTTTATAATGATTATGATTACTCACCCTTTCTGCTTGGAAATGTTGCCTCTTTACGTGGGTAACTTGTAGGTGATCAGGAATAGTTCGTTGAAGCTTATAAGATAGCTTCGGTGTGCATTGTTTAATTCTATTGATTTTAGAAGGTCTTGCTCTGATATATAACATCGGGGTTGAGAATGTTTGTTTTGAAACTATTATGTTTTCTTGCTTACTTTGAGATGATGGGTTACCTTTCATGATATTTAATTGTTTGAATTATGAATCATGGACGATGAAGTGTGAGGAAGACTCTATGAAGTATTTTTAATGAAGATGTTAAGAATATGATTCCGCTGCGATGATTTTGAATTTGATATTTGATGATGTTAAAGGAATAGTTGTTTTAAATATTTTGAAAACCCGTGTTACGGAGCATGATATTTTATATGATGTTTATATGAAGATGTAACATCCTTGTCGTGATATTATTTGAATTATTTGTGTAAGTTATACGCTAAATATATGTGAGTTTAGAAGGGTGTTACAAGGAGCGCCTGTAGATTATCGTTGTTATTATGGGTAACCTCATGGATTTGGTAAACCTATATGGTGAGGTTTTTATTGAATTATCTCGAGCATCACACATAGCCCGTAGGGGCCTATTTAGTTATTTGATTTAACAGTTGTATTATTTGTATTTTTTTAACTCATACTAACCACCACCATATCTTTTGTTATATAATATTTTGACAATTACATGCTTCGAAGGTGAAGATAACTTAAAACATTACAACAAACATAAATTAAAAATAATGAACCATGAAAACCTAGACACTACTAAATAATTCTGGAGGTTTCAACTTCTTGTTATGTCGTCGACAGATTTTGAAATCTTCGCATCAAACTTGATTGACCCCTTAGTTAGCCTACTGCTAAATGATCTCTACTTGACCGTCAAATCCTCATCGGTCTTCAACTCAATAAGGTTGTATTTCACCATTCCAGCAGTATCAATCCAATCTTCACGAAACTCGATCATTCTCACCTTTCTATTATCAATATCAGACAACAATTTATTCAACTTGGATGTCAAACTAGCGAGAGATGTGTTGTCATCCGGAAGACGAAATTCAACAGGAGGTTTATCTCTGTTGAAGTACACTTCTGCCTTAATAAAAAATTGAGGAAGAGGCATTTTGAGATGTTTTTTTCAACAACAGATGATCCCTATTTATACAACTTTGAATTTATTCTGGGCCATAGAAAACTGTCGATACAATCACGACCATACAAAACTGTCAGCAAAACCCTGATCGTTGAAAATTTTGAGTTACATAACTATCAGAAATTTCATATTTGCACTAAATTTATGGTATAAAATCACAAATTTTGAAAAATCCGTAATAAATTTTTACTCGCCGAAAATTTCAAGTAAATTACCGAAAATTTAGTGGTTATTGGAAATTTTAAACTTTCTACTAGAAATTTTATTTAGACAATTGATTTCATTTAACTAGGGGCACTTTTGGCATTATCAAAATATAGAGGATGCCAGATTCAACTGGGGTGACAAGTTAAATCTTCTACAACTAGACATCGTAATTTATGCGGATAAATATCAAAGTATATAAAATACATGTTCTAAATTTCAAAAATATATGTATCATATATAAAAACATTAGTAATTGAGTTCTTCATTTCTTTTGAGAAATGAAGAGGATCTCAACTCTTCTCCAAATATGGAAGTGCTTTAATTATCTTTAGGACATCATCGTCCTCAACTCCTCTTTCTTCTCTTTCTATAAGGAGGTATTTCACTTGTCTTTTCTTGACCTTTAGAAGTTGTTTGAGAGTTGATTTTTTAGATGAGAAGATTTTAGAGGATTATTTCTATATCTAGAAATATGTATTGTTTTTAAAAAGTTTAAAACATAATACGATCTTATATACTAAGATAGTATATTATCTTTTAAATTTTTTCAAAGTATCAAACATATTTCTAAATATAGACGCAACCTTTCTAAACTCCCTTCCAAAACCTCTTAAAAATCAACTCTCATGCATCCCATTAGTATTCATCGATGTCCCCATGTGACTAACAGGTCTAAGGCCAGCAATTTTAGGCTAAGGAGCACATTTAATATTTTGTTCCAAAATCAAGATGTGATGATTATGATATGTGAAATCAGCATGTGATGATTTCCCACACGGTGAATGTTTCTCTCATAAGGCCACATGACTCTTTGTTGCTCGTTTCTCCTCGTCCTTTGGATTAGAGGCCTTATTTTATTTTTTTTGGTATTCTTTGCCCAAAGATTTCTATAAAAGGATGTTCCTCTTTTATGGTTGGATCCCTTACGAGTGCCACAACAAAAACATATACAACAACAATCCAACCTTATTATATTAAGTGGAATCGGCTCAATGTTATAAGATAAAAGAACAAGAGATTGTGATATAACTGACTAAATAAATTATTCAAGCATTACAAAAACATAAAAACATCAAATGACTAGATGACTAAACAAAGATTTTATCATCATCATCATTGCCTCTGATTTATTGATCTATATTCTCAATCCTCAAAGCCATGCTGGGTTCTTCAAAGGAGTAACAACAGCTTTCACTTGCAAGTAGTTCTTAAGACTATATTCTCCTTTTTCTCTTCCTTGTCCACTCATCTTATACCCACCAAAAGGAATTGTAGCATCAAATACATCATAGCAATTTACCCAAACCGATCCAACTCTCAATGCTCTTGTCAAAGTATTAGCCGTGTCTATGTTTTTCGTGAAGACCCCTGCCGCAAGGCCAAAACGCGAGTTATTCGCTCTTTGAATTACCTCATCAATGTCCCTATGATCAATCAACATTAAAATTAGTTACACATAGCAAAAAAAAGCTCATAGAAGTAACATTTTCTGCAAAATTAGACTAATTGCTCTTACTTAAATTTCAAAATGGTTTGCACTGGACCGAAAATCTCATCCTTCGCAATAAGCATTTCATCCTGGTGGTTGTTATTTGGAGAGTTAAAAATATTAGTAGCTGTATTTAGATAATTCTTTTCAAAGATGAGAATTTTAAAAATATACACGCGCGCGCACAAACACACACCTGAACGTTTGAGAAGACAGTTGGCTGTATATAGAAGCCCTTGTTGCCAATTTTTTCTCCTCCAGCTTCCAGTGTAGCGCCATTTTCAACACCGGAGTTAATATACTTGAGAATTTTCTCAAATTGTTTTGAATCAATCTGTTATTTGTATCATAACAAGTTTTTCATTATATTATTCGGACACTTCCGAATTAATGCATCAAGGCTTAACACGACGATTTATCTCAAATGCTATGCAATTTTACCTGAGGTCCTTGCTCTACTCCTGTCTTGAATGGATCTCCAACAACGCGTTTCAAAGCGCGGGCCTTTGCTTTCTCAACAAACTCATCATACACGCGTTCATGGACAAACGTTCGAGAGCCAGCACAGCAACATTGTCCCTGAATTTCACAAAGAATAGCAGTTAATGTTTTCAGAATTACACAAGTGAGACTTGTTTGACAACAAGAACTCTATGCTTGTATTACCTGGTTGAAGAACAAGGCGAAGTGTGCTAATTCAACAGCCTGATCTACATCAGCATCTTCACATATAATAAAGGGAGATTTTCCACCAAGCTCCAAAGTTGCAGCCTTCAAATTGCTTTTAGCAGCTAGTTCAAGGATAATTTTTCCAGTAACAGTTGAACCTGTAAAAGCGATCTGCAAGAGACTTAATAAATCCACTCACTTAATAAATCCACTCTGAATACAAAATCATCATGACCGTCTTTGAGAGCGTGTAAGAAAGACTACCGCACATGGCTCAAAATTTGTCATGGTTAAACCATAATGAAATTGGGGCTCATAAAATATTAGTCACAATTAAACTACTATAGTTAAATAGAGCCTCTATTTATTTTATAATGGTTAAACTGCGACTAATCTACACAGCGTCTCTGAATAATTGAGATGGCGCTGAAAATCATTACAATACCACAACAATGCAGAACTAAAAGTATTGGTACCTTATCCACATCCATATGACTAGCTAGAGCGGCACCGGCTGTTGGACCAAAGCCAGACACTATATTCAAAACACCCGGAGGAAGTCCTGCCTGCCAGAAATATTACAAATTCGCAACAAAGCATGTAAGCCACTCGTTCTGTTCTTTTTCAATCGTCGAGATTATGGTGAATGTATCACTTACCTCATGAAATAGTTTTGCTGCATACAAAGCAGACAACGGTGTCTGCTCAGATGTTTTCAGAACAATAGTGTTGCCACATGCCAATGCCGGTCCGACCTTCCAACCAAACATGAGAAGAGGAAAATTCCATGGAATGATCTGACCAGCAACACCAATTGGTTCATGCAATGTATGCACCTGATGTGGTCCATCAGCTGGAACTGTGAGACCATGAATCTTATCTGCCCAACCTGGGGACAAATACGGAAATGCAAGTGTTAGTTAGTATACTTTCACAAAAACAAATAGAGAAGCACTTTTTCGAAAATGGTTTCCCTGCAGTCAGATATCTCTGCATTCACTCAATCTCGGGCGCAACAAATAGTATAAAATCTTGTACTAAAATAAGACATTTCACATACCAGCATAGTACCGAATTAAGCGGGTCAGCATTGGAACTTCGATCTCAGCAGCTTGTTCATAAGGCTTCCCATTATCCCATGTCTCAAGTGTTGCAAGCTCATTATTATGCTTTTCAAGCAAATCAGCAGCTCGTAACAATATCCTTTGCCTTTCCTATAAAATCATAGCAACAGAAAAAAAATATTAGTGAAACACTAACACAGACACAAATCCAGACACAGACATAGACACAAATCCAGACACAGACATAGACACAGACACGGATATCAAACACAGACAGACATAGATAAAACACAAGACACAAATAAATTAAAAAAGATGAAATACATATGCTGTCATCTTAGGCCATGGTCCATGATCAAATGCTTTACGTGCAGCAGCAACAGCTCGATCAACATCTTCATGTTGACCTTCAGCAACATGAGCAATCACTTGGCCATTTCTTGGATCCAACGTTGGAAATGTTTTACCTGATGATCATGATACACAATTCCACAAAAGCATTAACACCAATATTTACAAAGATACACTAATCAAGATAAACACCAAAAAAAGAATACAAACCAGATGCAGAATCTACAAATTTTCCATCAATCAAAAGCTGAGTATGATCAACTTCAAACGTTGGTTTGATTGGTTCTTCGATGGAAGAAGCATCGCTGCTATATTTACAGACTCTACTCAAACCTGAGATGTTTATTATTATTTTAGCACATAACAGATAAACTAATAGATAATAAAAATTGGAAAAATAACCATACCTCGAGAGAACAATGAAGAAGAAAAAACTGATCTAGAGATGAACCTTGAGATCCTCAATGAAGAAGCCATTATTTTCGCTACTCTTTTTTACCGAACTCCTTTGACTCTTAATTTATATACAAAATGCATGAACATGCATTGAATGTTAGCAACAAAAAATGTTAATGCAGTATTTGTGGAATTTGGTTACCTAAATTGTTTAATTTGATTTGATCATGATATGACGTGTTAAAGTTTTTTTCCTTGTAATTACATTTTGGATAAGCCCTATGACTGTCCTACCAATAATTAAGGAATTTTCCTTTTAAAATACTATACATTTAATATTCCATTGATGAAATCTTTAAATTTATTTACAGTCTTAATAGAATATTATTATGACTAATTCCCATAATAATGACAATGACACCTCAATATAGTAAAAAGTATAAATTGCTAATATACTTAATTGATAATATATAGTATTTTTAGTTCAATCATCATTACATTATCCTATGTGGTAATATAACTAATTTATAAATGTATTAAATACTTATATTTAGTAAAAGTACAATAAGAGACAATATCATATAGTGTAATACTGTCAAATATTTTTAGAGTTGTTGTGGTGTTAGAACAGACTCACACAATAGTGGTGAGAAGTTTTTTATGTATTGTTTTTTGAGAAAATTGAGTGTCTTCTTCTCGATCTCAGGATTGAAGTATTTATAGGAATCTTCTGGGTTTGGATTTTAGGCTCCAAGGAAGTAGTATCCACCCTCTAGAGCGTGAGAAATAGATAGTTACCTCCCTTATTATTTTGGAGAACCTGACTTCTCAGTTTAACTTCTCCTTCCATACCGTTATGATTAAGGACACATCACTCCCACATTTCACAAAGATGCGAGTGATATAGAAAACAAGCACCATTTTTTAAATGACTGAAGCTCGTTCAATAAATGAGAGGCTAGGAAACTGACATGGGCGATATATTACACCGCTCTCCTTAGAGAACTTTCTATGCCGCTTCTTGTGGACCTTTTAAGAATATACTAAATATGCATTCTCTCAAGCACGAGGGCTTAGAAAGGGAAAATGATTAAGTCTAATCCACTCTTATCAATTGGACGAGTTCCTCAAACATACGTGAGGTGAGCCCCTCTGGCATATCTGGAGCAAGTCCCTTAGACATATATTTAGGGAATATGGAGCACATTTTCCAGGAGTGGCTTAGGGTATACTTCCACGTGTCAATGAGATGAATCATCAAACATCAATTTAGGGAAATCCCCAAACGTCAATTAAGGTGGAACATATATGCAACATTAAATGTGATTAATGATGATTTAGTCTTGGGAAGCTAGATTGGCCATAATTTCTCACACGTGTCAGAAACGTGAAAAATCTTTTATGATTGTTGGGCAACCTAAGGAGAGACCCTTGATTACCCTAACCTTTAAACCTTTATAAAAGGGGTTCAACCCTAACCCTTATACTCTTTTGTACATTCTCGTCTCTGAAGTTCTTGAGAGTTTCCTCATAATCCTTCAAGAGGCCTCCAGTCTTCTCAAGCTAAAGCTCTCAGCTCCGCTTGCATGTACAATTTTGTTACCTTTTATTCTCCATGTTCCCATTTACGGCGATAGTTAAGGATTTATATGAGAGTAGCAACCTAGTAGAGCCCTCAAATCACAATGAGTGTATAACAATGTGGAATTGTTGATATGGAAACACCCAACATCTAGATGGGGTGGCTGACTACAAATTAATATATCTAGGAATGTTCGGTAGTTGAAAGAGTTCTACTAGTTCTAATAGCGATGATATTAGTGGTAGTGATAGTGACTCTTTTTCCCTTTTATTTTCTCAAGAAGCGAGAAGCTATTGGCTGCCTCTGATCCTAAGCACAAATTCGTTGAGGATTTTAAGACCTATTACACCAGTGAGGAAATGATAGTCTCTTTTCGGGAACATGTCAACCTTTCCTTTTTAGATGATAAAGAATAGGTTCTCCTGGAGGCGTGCTTTATGGTAGAGATGGCTAATATGTCTGTCTACAGAAATTTCCCCTACCCTTATTTCTACATACGTCTCCTTATTTTTTGTGACCTAGGGGTTTTTGTTCCCTTCTCTCTGTTTGAGGCGGAAGTTCTAAATGTGATTAACATCGCCTAGTCCCAGATTTTGCTTAATTACTGGAGCTTCATTCAGGAATTTGTTCAAATGCTAGCGGATGGAGGTCTATCCTACCATATGAATGTTCTTCTCATTCTACGGAACCAAGAAGAGAATTAGAGGCAACTCGGTGACCTTAAGTGCCTTGTCTAGAAGAGTCATGTTCAAATCATATTCTAATCATTACAATAATTGGAAAGACAAGTTTGTGTGTGTTAGAGGTCGAGATGGCACATTGTGATACGGTGGGAGAACTGACTTGAGGTTTTGCGTTTGTGTTCACAAATGTTTTGGTTTAGCAAGAGTCGCCACTGACTTTTTATTTTATCCAAAGGAAAGGTCAAAAAGCACAGGAAAGACCTTTGAGATGTTTTCTTGGGTTCGGGGGGTAGATTATGAAAAGGGAAGGTGCAAGCACCCTTTTCATCCATGGTTATCCATGGGCTCTTAGTTACTTGTTTAGATCACTTGCTTTTGCTTTTCAATTGTTTGAAATGGTGCTTTGTGTGTGGTTTTGAAAATGTTTTGAAAAGAGGCCTTGTCTAGGCAACCTTTGTAACAATTCTTGTTTGAATGTTTTTACAAAGGTGTTTGTCTTTTGAAAAGATGTTTCAATGTTTGAAAGTTTGTTTTTGGGAAATGTTTTGAAATTGTGTGATTTGAAATTAGAAAGGATGTTTGCAAGTTTGATCAAGTAACTAGGAGTTGTCTACCCTAACTCAAAGATCTTTCCTACACATTTTTAACCCTTTGACATTGTTGTTTTACCATTGTATTTGGTAAACAACCTTGTGTTTGGATGTTAAACGGGACAGGCGCGGGTCATCATATTGACCATGATAGCAATTGTGCTAAGTATCTTTAGCAAATTTTTGAGGGACTAGATCATTTTGTATAGGCAACCAAGGTAGCATCATCGAGGGACTATGATCTTTTGTTTTGTTTTTGTTTTGCCAAGATACTCAACATGCATACCATGGCCATTTTAAAGGCAACAAGTGGGTGAAACCCTAGGGGTGCATGTGTGCATTGTGTTGTCAATTTACATGCTTTTATGTCTTGTATTAGGTCTAACTATTTGCTTTGATTTTGGATATTGCATACAAACCCTAATCTCTATCACGCATATTTTGAAAACTATAAATGCGTAAAAGTAAATCTACAACTATTACAACATTGATATGGGGAGGGGGATACAATTTTGAATGGGGAGTATTTGCAAGAAAATAAAACCCTAAGATTAACTATTACATCCAAATTGAATTCTTTGTATCAAACAATAAATAAGCAAATATTTAAATAGACAATTAAATAAATATGTAATATATTATAAATATGTAAAAAAAAATTCTTTGTTTATTTTTATGTATGTAAAAATAAAATATTTAATGTATTAAAAAAAAAGAAAATAAGAGGTTATTTTTGTTAAGGGTAAAAACCCTAATTTTTTGGTTTAAGAATATGTATATATTATAATATTTGTTTATGTATAATAAAATAAAAATATATACAAATGTCAAAAAATAAAAATATGTTAGAAAAAATATTATTTGAATATATAAATAATAAAAATAAAAGTATAATATTTTTTGTAGTATTTACAAGTTTATTTAGAAAAAATAAAAGTATATTATTTAAGAAAACTATTTTTTATGTTAGAAAAAATAATAAAAATACAAAATAAAATGTGAAAATTTATGAAAATGTTTTTGGTAATTTTTTATGTTTAGAAAAATAAAATAAAATCAGAAATGTAAATGAAATAGAAAAAATATAAAAAAATAATGAAATGGGCCAGGGGGGTGCAATCAGCAAGCTGGGGGCGTCAAAAGTGAGAAATAGCCAGGCCCAGCCCAGCTACTTCATCTTCAACCTTCGTTCAAACAAAAATGCACGCCTTCTTGTACAATTCTGGAAATCCTGTATACGTGCTCTAAAGCAAAAACTCACAACACAAAAGTTATAGCATTTTTCAACACGATTCCAACCATGTAAAGAACTTAATCTAACTCTCAAAGACCAGAGAGAATTTCTCTGGCCCTAATTTCTAACCTAACTTTTTAAGAAAGTTCATCAATCAAATTCTCTCAACACACTTAACTTAAATGAAATCTATGCATATGTACAGCTTAAGGGCAATGAGTACTACATTTTTTATTCACAAACCTAAGCCTAATGATTCCTAAATAGAGAGATAAAAAGTTGGAAAATACCTGTTTCAGTTGAACTCGAGTATGGAAATGTTGGGGTTTTCAGTGAGGCCTAAGATGTTTATGAGCTTGCCTGAACTTTCTCTGACCTTCCCCAATGCTTTGTTTGCTTTGAGCTTGCTTGAATAAGCCTGTAGAAGTCAACCTGCACAAGCTGAAATCAGAAATGGTGAAGCTTGCAAATGGAGTTACAGTCAATGGCCAATGGTTGGGATAGCTTAGGTGGGTTATATGGAATGTATTGGAATTAGTTTGGGACAAAACGCACGAGTGGTTTGTGATTTGGAAATCAAAATGCAGAAGCTACCCTATTTTGCAAGAAGATGGTGTTTTGTGTTTTGGAAGGCTTGAGGGTTGGATAGCTCGTGCTTCTGGCTCAAGGCAATATGCCAAACTTGTTTTGAAAGGTTACAACACTTGGTTTTAACAGAAAACAAGAGTTATGTGATTTTTGCAAGTTGACTTATTTTTTAAAAAAAGTGTGAAGTGACCAAGGGCAGGCCTGTACATGCTAGCTTCAAGCATGCACAAAATTGTTGTACTTTTACCTGAGTTTGTGGAGTTGGTATGCTTCAAAAATCTTGGTTCAAGGCTCAAGGGAAACAAGTTGACATAAAGCCACCTTTATCAAAATGGCATAGTTCACTTTTTGCCAAAAATGGATTAAACTCTTGTGTAAACTTTCATTGATCAGAATAATGCCTT